TTTGTATTTTCTTTGATATCAAAACAATCTGATATTTCTCGGAACGCCTTTAAGGTGCAATGCCTCATCTGAATGCTTAACAAATTACGCGCTATCCAAAATTTGCAAACAAAGGGGAAATAAATATTAAAAAATCGAGTTCGCACCACATTCATTAAACAGAAATAATTAAAATTAACAATTACTTAAAGGCCATTGATACAATTTGAAAAAATGAGCGAAAAAAATTATTAAAAAAAAAGTGTAAACATGCGCAAGTACAAATCTCTAAAATCCCCCGGCTTGTGTGTGTCACTCTGTCGGTGGACTAATTAGTTTACTTCACTTCGACTGAAATTGACGGCATCCACAACAAATGAAAGCAAATGGAAATAATTACTCAATTGCGAACCTGAAAGTAAGTAAAGGCAAGTTCGAGAAGATTATTTTTCGAGACTGAAATATTTATGTGTTATTCTTTGAAAACCGCAAGTTCTTAAGAAGAAATCTATAAAAAACAATTGTTTTGATAAAAAAATATCTTTGTTTTAAGTCAATGTACTTAATGAGTTGCTGAAAATAAAGAGTACTCTTATGTTCTTTTCAGCTTTTAAATTTTTTTCATTTGGTCATTGTGAATTTTGTGGGCAAGACTTTTTAATTCAAATTTTGTCTGAAAGTCTATCCCTCGAAATATATTTTTCTGGTGCGCTAAATTTCACATCAAAATAATTATTACTGTTTAGTGTACGCTTGTCTTTCTGAAGTACATAACATCAACTGATAATCAACACATCTATAAAATAAAGGAAACGGTTTTTGACAAACGACGATTAACAATCAGAGATCTTACTGAAATCGTTATACATACTATATATCGAAACGATCAGTGAAAAACATTTTGAAAGCCAGGCTGGTTCACAAAATCAATAAATTTAAAAACAGTCTGCGTTAGCGTCTGTAAAACAACGCTTTCCGACTACAAGAATATCATGAAATGTATTTATATTGGCGATGAGTCTTGGATCTATACTTAAGACCTGGAAACATACGATTAGTCGGCCGAATATTGTTGCAAAGGTCATCGGAAGCCGAAAAACATGTCAAAGCAGGTCAAAAATTAAGATTATGTTGACAGTTTTCCTCGATTATGCAGGTGTGGCGCACTCCAAATTCCTTCCAACCGACCAAAGTATCAACAAGGAATACTATTTGAGTGTTATGCGTCGTTTGCGCGAAGCTTTTCGTAGAATGAGGTCCGAAAACTTTTGGTTTTTGCGCCACAATAATGCACCAACGCTTATTCCATTGATTCTTCGTAAGTTTTTCGTAAAATGTTTAACCAATATCGTGCCACCGTATACGCCTGAATTAGCACCGGGTGAGTATTCGGCAAGCACAAGCGACGATTTTGTGGAACCAGTCTGAGTCCATTGAAGCCATTAAACGTGAATTGCTATGCGCATTGAAGGCTATTCCGTATATTGACTTTAACTGTTCCAAGAATTGGAAAACTCGTTGATAAAATTGTATTGAGGCCACAGAGAATTACTTTGAATTTTACTATGTGGTCCTCACATATATTTTGAACAATAAAATAAGAATTTTAAAAGTATGATCAAAATCTTACCATTTTTGCTCATGGTAGTATTTTATAAGGCCTCCGATGTTTCCTACTGGGTGCTTCAATATTCGCGGCAAATTTAATTTACACTGTTCAAGCTATTATTTTTGATTAGAATATTATTGTTGTAGTGGTCCATATTTTTGTTTAAATATTTCTCAGCCAATCAACGCAACACAAAGAAATCGTTTCAAAAAACGGAATCACTGTTCAAATATGCAGAGAATATTTGAATTTCACAAATATTTACATTTGAAGTAGTTTATTTATATTGTGTATGTGTGCTAGAATAATAAACATACCTCTTCTAAACACAAATAATTGAAAAATTTTCGAGAACACAGGTCGTAGAATCCACGAAAGGAACAAAATTGAAATTTATGAGTTGTAGTTCACTCTCCGCCGTTCATATTCGTTTATAGCCAACCATTGTGCTTATGTAGTACATATATATTTATGTTATGTTTATACAAATATTCGCTTAAGAATGCATTATGAGATAAAGTGTGAATATGAATGATCAATAAATAATAAATTAGTAATATGTGAATGCCTAATTAGTTGCTTTGAAGAGGAGAAACGATAAAGCAATTACAGAGGAACTGCATTGATACTTGCATACCTCTGCTTCATATAAGCAACGACTGGTTATTTAGATGTGTGTATGTATTCTTATTAGCTTGTTTGAATTAATAAGCATTTGCTGAGATGAACATTTAATTTGACCATAAAAAATCATGTACAGAACCGCTTGACTTTTCAATTCACTTCTTTATAGTCCATAACATACTCAATAATAAAATAAAATGGCGCACTTTAGTATTTCTAACAATGCATGTAGCCTTCTAGTTACTCGAGCTTATGACAATGCACTTGAATGTTGTGATCCGCAAGGCTCAAAATAAAGCCAACACCCATGTATTAATAGCTAAAGCTCCACGACCGGCCATTCCCGTAGTTTGGTGTCGACGCAGCAGAAAATTGCAATTTTATTCATACATATCTATGTTGAGAATGAAGGGAACTTCTGGTGGGATTAGTAATGCTTTGTATTGGTTGTGCAGATAGAGTACTGTTGAAGTAAAAATATGTATGCTTAGTGATAAAGTAAACTTGAAGGGCAAATGCTGAGTGCAAAATACTGTTTGTGAATTGATGTGTCTGTATGTGTTAGTAAATAAGACTTGTGTTAGTAAAGCATATGCTAAAGCAATTTAAAGCACATTTTGTGCAACTATTCCAGCTGTGACTTGAGGTATGTTCTGAAGACAGGAGTTGTTAAATACATTTTTATGACAAATGAGGTGCTTAGTTATGTAGGTTAAGTTAAGGTGATATTCTAGTCGAGACGCCTAAATTTTAGGAATTTTTTAATCTAAGATATAGACCGGACTAATATTGACCATATTTTATAGGATTTTATTGACATTTATAAAATATGAACAAAA